ACCAACATGGTGAAACTCCATCTGTACTAAAAATACAAAAATTAGCCGGGCAAGGTGGTGGGCGCCTGTAATCCCAGCTACTCGGGAGACTGAGGCAGGAGAATGGCATAAACCCTGGAGGCAGAGGTTGCAGTGAGCTGAGATCACACCACTGCACTCTGGCCTGGGCAAGAGCAAAACTCGGTGTCATAAAAAAAAAAAAAAGAAAGAAAAGAAAATAATCTCTTGGTTGACCGAAGATGAGTCATAGTGTATTTCAGTATTTAAATTTTACGCATTTGTATATTTTAGTCTTACAGTCTTATTTTTGAAGCTGCAATATTTTAAGTTACTAAATAAAGTTGCCTCTGTTTCTTAGCCATGTTTTTTGTTTTTTTGGGGAGCTTTTTGCTTGCTGTTGGAGGCTATAGCTATAAAAATTTGCAGTGCATTTCTGCAGTGAACTTGTTCCTGTTTAGTTCTATTGAATCATATTTCTAATGGGATATTTAAGGCAATAAGCTCACACCTCGTCCTGCTTCCTCCTGTGGTTGTGGCCAGTGAGAATGAGCAGTGTTGTATTGAATAAGAAGCTGATAAGCTCATCTGGTGTCTTGTTTCAGTGCCTCCGAGGGATCCACTTTCAGAAACCGACTTTGCAGGCGAGATCAACGTTTTTTTCCTGGTGGCTGTGTTCAAAACCACCCAAAGGTACCTGTCTTTCATCTACCATCGTTAGCAGCATGAGGTTTACAGGAACTGAGTGTGACTTTTACAGTGAGTGACCAGGGGGTGAGGATCAAGACAACTCAGGGCACACCCCACTCCACCCCGCCCCATTCTACCCCTTCCTGGCTTCCATATTGAGCCACACAACGTCCAACACCTTCTCCGTGTCTTTATGGTGTTGATATCTCAGTAAAGCTGGTGAAAGAAAAGCTCTTTCCAAAGGAAGGTGCTAGATGAATCTTTTGGAAGGCATGGGAACAAACCTTGGTTTCTGCATATCTCACTCTGCGGACCAGCTAAGCCTCATGTTTGGAAAGCAGAACAAAAACAATGTGCAGACTGTCATTAGCTCAGAGCACACTTGCCCACTTGGAGTCCTTCTGTAGGCCATGGACCTGGGCTTTGTGCTTTGTGTCCAGGGACAGTGTTCACTGAAGTCCCTGGAGACCCTGTGTCCCCACAGAGTAGAAGGTGCCCCCTGCACTTGCCTCATTGTTAGGACCTGAGGGCACTTGCTGATTGTATGAAGTGAAAAGAGAGAGACAGGAGGAGGGAAAACTGTCCTGTCTCTCACTTTCTCTATAGCGACTTGACAGTATGGTTGCTTTTCTTTTTTTTTTTTTTTTTT